CTCATTGTCATTGTTTTCGTCCCATAGTGCACAGACTCGAGTGTATTAACTGTGTTGCTACACACTGATAGATGTTGTGATCGTGAACGATCGTGTTCGTTTCAGACATGATAGTGCCTATGGCAAAGTCGAAATACGCCAAGTTCTTCGTGGAGAAGTTGATAAAGTACGGAACGAAGGTGCAACGAAAAGCCATCTTCCACAGCTTCTCTGGACAGGTGCGTGTTCACGACGACGCGTGTGTGTCCGTTTTAAGCTCTCGTATTAGTTCTATACTGCAAGCTAACAGCTTAGCTAGCGTAATTTGTTTGTAAATATGCCTGCAGCATTTTGTTGTTCTCAAGACATATGGCCAAGCAATTTACTATAGCTTATATATATTATATATATATACGTACATACATACATATATATATAAGCTTATGCTAAACCAATAAAATCAATTGTCTGATGTGCAAGAACTGCGCATGTACATTTCGACTGCGCGACTGTTGCCGTGTGACTGTTGTTGTCGCTGCGCTGGGTACGTGACGTGCTAACGTTATATTGTGACAGGTGGTGAAGTTGGTACTGCATAACACAGCCTGCCACGTCGTCGAATATTTCTACAACGAGTTTGCGCAGGCGGGTCAGCGTCAGGCGATGGTGCGCGAGTTCTATGGACAAAGCTTCGCATTGTTCAAGGTACGAGCGCTCGCGTCCGGAAGTTTGCCCGGTCGTCGGCCGTAAACGTGGCGGTAAACAAACGTGTTCCGGAACATTTGTTTTCGCCCCCGGAATGCTATGTGAACGTACGACATGGAGAAATGTTACATGTTTACGTGCAATAATGGTAACGCACACATGCTTCTCCTCTCTCACCGACTTCCCTCTCTCATGTATTGGAATTATTAATGTTTGTGATTTGTTTTTCGTCGCAAGTAAACGAGTTGAATATTGTTTTTATCACTAACGAATCCGAACGAACATCCTAAGAAATGAGCGACTTTGGTTAAAGTGAATGCTACCTTTTGCGATAGGGAGATGAAATCAAGTCGCTCGATCAGATATTCGCGGAGGAGCCGAACAAGAAGGAAGCGATTCTATCCAGCATCAAGGAGAATCTGCTCAACCTAACGGAAAAGTGAGCATATATATGTCCATCTCTCATACTACACTGCACGTCAGCCATACCCTGCTGTACCTCTTAGCACTCCACGCTGTACGTCCGTCACACCACGCTGTACCTCAAACCACACTGTATGTCCATCACACCACGCTGTACGTCTATCCTGCCACGCTGTATGTCCATCACACCACGCTGTACCTCTGTCACATCATGCTGTACCTCCACCACACCACGCTGTACGTCCATTACACCATGCTGTACCTTCATCTCGTCACGCTGTACCTCCATCACACCACGCTGTACCTCCATCACACCATGCTGTACGTCTATCACACCACGCTGTACCTCTATCACGTCATGCTGTACCTCCA